TTTCTTTCTTTCTTTCTTTCTTTCTTTCTTTCTTTCTTTCTTTCTTTCTTTCTTTCTTTCTCAGAATCAAACTTCTGGAGTGAGCAGTGAGTTAGCCTGCAGTACTGCATTCTAACCACTGCATCACCACAGCACTGTGAGCATGGGCCTTTCATGCTTAATAAAGCACTGCAGCATATTAAATGCCATAATAATTAAGGCATGGGAGGTAAAACTTACACTACTCTTGACATCTTTGAGTTTGGGAAGTATGTCTAGACCAAAGCCATCTGCTTGTCCTCTTGTCCTATTTCCACCATTCATGTAATTCCCAAAAGCGAGGACCAAGCCGAGAACCCGCATAACTCCTGAGCCACTTTTCAACATCTGGAGAAACAAGATGCAGAGAAGTTACTACAGAACATGTTAGAAACATTTCATTTTATTTAATAAAAAGTGTACACGCACATAACTGTTGTCAAAACAATTGAATGCAATTTAATTTTAAATAGTTCATAATCACATTGGGATGATTCCAAAATATTAATAATAATTATGAAACTTCCATTTTATAATTTATAAATTCCTTACTGCTATGTAGGTGTATCAATAATAAAAAAGACATTTATATCTTGAGAAAAGGGACTATTGAACATTTGAAGCCAATACCCATGTGCTATTTACTGATGCAGAGATATTAATTCTGTGAGCTTCAAACTTAAAATTAGTTTTTATTTGAAGATTAGTACAGTACTGGGAAGCTTTTGACTTTTCAAATATTGTTCAAGTACTCCACTATTGGACAGGATGGAAAAGAGTTATTGTTCAGCAGCATTTGTAATGAGATAAGTTCCCCACCTACACCATAAAAAGGTTTTCTAACATTGCTTAAAGAAATAGAAACAAAATGGTGAACCATAGTTTAGAGTAAGAGATATTCAAGTTCGGGTACTTGTCATTTTTGCCAAAGATTGCTCAAATGTCTTTAAGTTAAATTAAATGTTCTGTTATTAATATTGAACAACTTTAGTATGATAGGCTGGGCCCACAACCAATAGTATAATTACTCCGGAGACAGTTCTGGATGTGAAACCATCTCACAAGAGATGCAGGAAGTGCTGGATTAACTAAATGTAATGGTATTGGGAAAGACCTTTGGAGATAGAGCCAAGAGATGCTACCTAGGGAACAGTCAAATAACAGACAGCACAACCCACAACCGGACAGTGGGGCAGGAGAGTCAGAAGAAACCTTCCTCAGTTTCTTAGATTATGAAGGAGATGAGCAGAGGGAAGAGAGATGTACTTTCAGACTTGGAAGATTTTTGTCAATTTAGCTTTACAATAAAGTATAATTAGCTCATCTGGTAGTAATTCACATCTGGTTTACCCATGAGGCTAACATCAATGTTGCAATCTTTCTCCCTACTTCCTTTACAACCCAAGAAACTAGGGGAGGAAGCTTTCTGAGCCTGTTGCCCATCCGACTATCCAGTTGAGGGTCATGCAGTCTCTCATCCAACTGTTCCCTTGGCAGGCTCTCTTGGCCCAGCCTCCCAAGGCCTTTCCCATACACCATCAGACCAGTCTCCTAAAGCTACTAAGCAGGCAACAGAACAGAGACAAATAAGCAGCAATTGTAGGAGAATGAGCTAGCTCTCCTGGCACTGAAATACTTGAAAGAACCATGCAGGCTGAGCCCTATAATCAGTGCAAGCATTTCTGAATGGAAGAAGGCATCTGGCAAAATTAAACCATGCAAATTAAAGTTTACAAAGTATATTTGTGTTTTGGCAAATGTGAAAAATACAGAGCTTTGTAATAAAGGGGACACCGATCTATCCTTTCCTTAAGGCATAGGAATTCTTGACAGTTATGAAAAATCTGATGAACAAAAAGTCCCCCCTTCCTTAAAAAAAGAGCACATGATTATATTGATAAAGTATGAGGATAAAAAGTTGGATAGCCTCATGTGTGTCTCCTTATTCTCTTCAAGAAAAAGTGGGATACAAATAAACAAATAGGCAAAACACCACATTGGACATAAATGGGAAACATTGACTTAATTGCCTAACAATGTAGATACACTACTGCTCTGTATATCATTCCCATTCCATTAAAATTGATAATAGTGAATGAATATTTGGGGGAGGGGCATATATATGGGTTCCAATGAACATTTCAGATGGAATAAAATGCAAGGACTTTCTATTCCCTTAGTGACACTGCTTCCAGTTAAATTATATGGATTATATAGAATGGCAGCAAAAAGTTCGTCAATGGCTTGACCTCTGATTGGTTGCAATGCAGAAAGTCTTAAACAGGATGAAATTGGTTCCAGCATAATAGCAGCGGCAGCGGAACAGGCTGCAAACAAGCATGGCACTAAGCTTTGAAAAAAGGCAACAAAGTTTGGTGACTGAGGAATTATTAAGTTCCCTGAGGAACATGTCTTTAACTGAACATTTTAAAGCACTCCATCAATGCCCTGTAGATTTTTCCCATGGAGAATTATAGCTATGAAAGTGTCACATGGAACTGAGAGTATTGAAAAAAAAGAGGAGTGTTATATACCTTCCTCACACAATATTTTCAAATTCATCTTTGCAGCATTGCCAATAGCAACTATGATTTGTCGAGACTGAAGAAGAATCCTGAAGTTATAGTGATATCTTCAAGATTATGTAGCCTAATATTAACTAATATTTGTTCATTATTATAAAGCTAACTGTGGGAGATTGAGGCTGTTTCCAGTGCTGCCAAAATATAATCGGCTGATTATTATATATCATTACAGAAACAAAGGCACTTCTAAAAGAAAAAGTCAATGTATGTTTGTTTGGAAATACTGAAGGAAAGCCAGTGCCTGTTACAAAGAGAGAAGATTTTGCTTTGGCACAGGAAGAAGGTATATTATTCTCTAGAGGTTGATACGCATTGGCTATAGACTTGTGGTGTTATTATACTTCAGCACTGAAAGCCAAATCTTAAGATTTACTTTGATCTTGAAGCAAAATCATAAAATGTTCCATTCAGCAGGACTGCTATCCTTCACATTTAATGAGCATGTAAAATAAATAAAACTTTTGAAATATGAGTATTGTTGAATAAGGAAGATTAAATATCAGCCAATCTAGGTCTTGCATCAGATGGTCCAGAACCTACCTCACACAGTTTCTGCAACAATTCAAGTTTGCTTCGGAGAGAGGAAATGCTTTCGGAGAATGTTGATTGGAACAGGATACAAAAGGCTCTTTCAGAGAAGTTGGGAATCAGGGAGAGCTCATAAAGAAACCTGGAGACATTAAGGAAAGACATGACTGAGATCTATTAAAAGAACTTCATGGATAAAAATAGGTTCAGAATTATAGTCTAAAATCATTCCCAATTAAATCAATGAATAATGAAAAATTGTTCTGAATGGGAACAGATTATCTGTGTGACTATGGAACCCAAACATAGGGGGAAGGGTAACAAAGGACTGATAGCAGATAAAGGATATTTATTGGTTTTGGACACAACAAGACTAAAGAACAATGAGATCCATTCCTTTCAAATTGGGAGTGGAACTTAGAAGTCTTCCACCTAAAATGAGACTTCCAACAGATACAGATACCTCTCACCCCTTACCAACTCAAATTAGCCAGTGCTAAGCAGTGAAAAAAACAACAGTTTTGCAAATAGTGACTAACTGTCATTTTAATTTCCCATAAGGACACTGATATCCCAACAGATAAATGTTCTGACACTTGACTTGAGGAAAAACAAGGCAGTGGGGAAAGAGAAGGTCTATTAAAATATTTGTCCCTCAAAAGGATTTAGGTCCTCAAAGAAGTGGCTAATAATGCTATCCTGTTACTGGGGCTCAGAACTTTGATTCAGATGTTGAATGTGATTCACTCAATCAGCAGAAGAAAAAAATAGATAAAAAGATAAATTATCTAGATCAGGGGTGTCAAACTTGATTTCATTGAAGGCTGCATCAGGGTTGTGTTTGACCTTGGGGGCTGGGGTAGGTGTGGGCATATTGACATCACTCGTGTTGGGGGCGTCTGTGGTGACCCAAGTGTTTTTGTCCTGAGCTCCATTTTCAGCCGCAATGACTTCCTGCCACCTTCTGTCAAAGAAAACGGAGCTCGGGGGGGGGGGGGGGGCTGCATGCAGCTCTCCCAAGCTCTGTTTTCGCTGGCAGAGGCACCATGGGCCTGTCCTTTACTGTTTCTAGGGCAGCCCTTGGGCCAGATCTAAACACCCCAAGGGCTAGATCTGGCTTCCGGTCCTTTAGTTTGACACCCCTGATCTAGATGGAAATATAGACTTGGGGTCTGTACAGGTTTATACACTTCTTGAAGAGGATGGGAATAATCATCAGAGATTGCTGCAAAATGTTACTTCTGCCTCCTGATAGAGGACTGATTAATACAGAAGTACACACATATATGCATACATATACATACAACTTTGCCTGAAAATATAAATTAATATTAAATGTTCTGGGACTTTCCATAACAAAAACCATGAGAGACGAGTGAAATCTTGCAATATTTCAGCTATCTCACATGATAATTCAACTATTTTTAGCATATAATCAGGGAGCTCAGGAGATAAATTAACATTATAAGAAAACTGACATCAAATATATTTTGGTGTCTATCGAATACTATGTCTGTAAGTGTGATTACTAGACACACATGCACACACACATACATACACACAAAGCTAAATTGAGTACATTTGAAGTAAGGATTAAGATGTAAATCCAAAGAATGTGCAAGAGAAAGGAAGTATCAAGGTTATGGAAAAATAGCTAAGCAGGGATAAGGATCAAATTAAACTTATTCTCATGAAGAACAAGCAAATATTTCTTTCTGGGGAGAAGAAAACAAACCAAAGGATTTGTAGTAAATTCATCTACTGGAAGAATTGGGAAAAAAGGAGGACATACCACTATCGTACAAATCATGTGAATAGCCCAAGGACATCATAATTCAGTTTTTTCAAACAAAGTGGAACTGAATCTCATGGTTATTATATGTATTGAACTGGTTAATTATTTGTTTCAGTTAGAACAATTTGTGTTGTATCTGAACCTGAACTAAAAAGTTAATAGTTTGACTCTCTCCAACCAGTGTAGATGGCTTATAGTATCCTTACTGTTCAGGTTTGTCCAAAGATTTGGCATTCTCCTTTTCTTTACTTGATTTGCCATGCTTTTCTATCTTTTCCAGTTCATCAGATTGTGCTCTCTTGAAAAAAGATTAATAAATATAAAGAAAATTAGGAATGGAAGTAATGCATAATCATCTGTATAAATAATTATCTAGGAAATTAAATAATGCTTATAATTCAAATATAACTGTTCAATTATTATTCTTCAATTTATTTTAATTATTTATATACAAAGATATTTAACATAAATATGTGGTAAAAGTAGTTCATGAAATAATGTTAGACATAAAATATTTACCCAGACAACTATCACTAAATAAAAACCTTTCTAGTTTATGTTATTAAACATTCCCAGTTATTTTATTCAAGCATAGATTAAGCTGATGCATATGTGAATAACAAAACCACTTTTTGTTTTTTCAATAAAAAAGGGACATAAAAACTTTTTAAAGAAAGACATAATTATTTTAAATTTACACTCAAGATGACTTTAGTTATGGGAGATTCAATCAGTTTAAAGATAAAGGTAAAAGTTCCCCTTGCATATATGTGCTAATCGTTCCCGACTCTAGGGGGTGGTTCTCATCTCCGTTTCAAAGCCAAAGAGCCAGTGCTGTCTGAAGACATTTCCATGGCCAAGTGATCAGCATCACTAAATGCAGAAAGCACACTGAATGCTGTTACCTTTCCAAGAAAGGTGGTTCCTATTTTTCTACTTGCATTTTTATGTGCTTTCGAATTGCTAGGTTGGCAAAACCTGGGGCAAGTAACGGGAGCTCACTCTGTTACATGGCACTAAGGATTCGAACCACCGAACTGGTTTGACAAGCTTAGCTTAGCCACTGAAGCACTGCATCCCTTGCAATCAATCAGTTTACAGGGCATTATTTAAACAAAAATAGGCATGACAATTTGAATCCAAAATTGCACTGTATGATTTTTGCAGTAATTCTTAGATGCCTTTATATTAATAAGTTGATTTCTTCTCTCTAACTAACTATACAAAGGATACAAAAGTATACTTTTACACAAAAATCTATTTTGAGATAAAAGCAATACAATGAATATTCCGTTAAAGTGTTCTACAACTTATCATCTGGAATATCCCAAATTGGAAATGACTGATTTACAGGTATGATTAGGAGCTGCTATTTTCTTTCAGCAGTATTCTGTTCCAGGTAAAGAATGACCATGTATTGTTAGTAATACATTTACATCTCACCTTTATTTCTATATGGCTCAAGGCAATGTGCCTACTGTACACATCTTCCCTGTGAGGTAGGTTGGATTGAGAGACAGCTATTGTTATTTTAAGGTATTTTCAAAGAATTTTTCCTAAATGGAATTCCAGTCACAGAACTTTAATGCTTATAAAAACATGTCCTTCCTTCTGAAATTGAAACCCAGATACTCACTGTAGCCCTAGCTCTTAAAATATCAACCTTATAACTTATGCATTACAAAAGAAAAGTGTGCAAAAATCTTTAATGCTTTTGCATGAATTAATATTGTAAAGCAAATTTCTAGCATCTAATTGGCAAGGATGTTTCAACTGAGCTTTAATTCTAAGCCGAAGAATAAGTAAGAACTGTGGTAGTAGACTCTGACAATGTTTCATAATTAGACTACAAATGAGATAATCTGTCTATTTATGAAAACTAATGGAATAAAACACAACCATAGCTAATACAAAATGTTTGAAAAAAACGTTACGACATAGAAGTGTCAGGTTTCTAACATAATGCAAATTATTCTGAGCTATGCAAGAATCTGTGTTAGAGGAGTGATAGCTTTATTTTCCCGAATACAGCAATGTACTAGCTATTCACAAAGGAATCATACACTGAAAACTTGCACGAAGTACAAAATGTCACTGCCAGCAACCATTGCAAGACACAATCCTGGAAAGTGGTAAGGGTGGGGGAGATACTTTGCCAGATTGAGAGGTCCAAGAGCTGCAGGCCACATGGGAAAAATTACGTTAAATTAATGCTTGAGGATGTTTTGGCAAATCCATGTTTCTGTAGTGGCTGTCCAAATCTTGTTAGATTTTCTGAGATTTACTGCAGCCAATCAAAAATAGAGTTACAAAAGATCAAGCAACTTTCTGAACAATGAACCACTCGCTCAAATCCCCATCTGGAACAAAATGAATAAGCAGCACACATGTATGCAAAAAGAATGACAGAGGTATGCCCTCTGTGAAATAGGTTCCTAAAAGTTACATATTATTCAGTTCTGTAGTTCTCTCTGTTATTTTTTTATGCATGAAGGGGAATTCCCAGGATGTGGCATCTGATAATAGGAAAGAAAGGCAAATTTTTATTAAAAAACCAGGCTAATGGAAGGCAGCATTGCTTCCAACATATGTGGACCTGGGACATCTACCATAAGTGAAGTATACTTAAAGTCTTCAGACTAAGCAAAATAACAGATCTGTTTTCCCAGAGGCCTGTGTTAAAAATGCATCCGTTGCTTGCTTATAAATGTTTATGTATTCGATTTAAATGTTGTCCAACTCTATGACTCAAGGCCCGCAGTCCCCAGGTTTTGTGGACTTGTGGTGGAAAAAGGGATGTTGCTATGCAAATGGCAGGTGAGCACGTGCACACAACTCCATTTGCACAAGTGGCTGCACACGCATCTGCTGCTCTCACTGATGGAGCTTTGAGCATGTGTGCTTGACCACTACTTACATCAGTAAATTATGTGCATGAATACAGGTGCTTGCCATTTCCGTGGCCCAGTTCCGAATGGGATGTGGCTCAGTACTGGGGCACTCCCCAAAGGTTGGTTAGGCAAAATTGCCCTATCTTTTGAAAGTCAGACTTTAGTACAGACATTCCAATATTGACTCTCTAGATAGTTTATACTAAAAATTAGAGAAGAAAAAAGTCCTATGGCTCCAAAGAACCATATTACTATATCATACAACCAACAGGATCTCTATAAATTAGTCTATATCCATGCCATTCCTCCAGGTTTGGTTATAAATACAGTCTTAGAAATGTCAAAATCCTTAATAAATATATCTAAAGAAATTAAATCACACCAATCAATCTTTCATTATTTTCCAAAACAGATATATTTTAAGGGTCTAAGAAGAGATAAATATTACAAATTTATTTGATTATTTATCTGATTATTAAAGCCCAGGTGAGATGAGGTGGACACATCTTCAGAATGGATGACCACTGTATGCCTCACCAGTTACTCTATAGTGTACTGGAATCTGGAAAGAAACCTCAAGGTCAACCATTCAAGTTCTATTCAAGAAGTTGAAAAAGACACTGTGTACCACTGTAACATCCAGCCAAGGGAACTGGAAGCTACAACTGCAGATGGAAGCCAGTGGTGAGCCCTGTGCTATGAAGATGCTACCAACATTGAAAAAAGGTGTCACAAAAAAATTATAGGAAACTGTGAACTGTCTTAAAATAACACCCACAGTTCAGCGATGGTTTCCTCTTACTTTCATTACTGGTTTGGAACTGGGAGTGCACGCTTGCGTGTGGCATTCTGCACATGTGCAGAACCTTCTACACCTGCACAGAGCATCCATGATGATGTCTGGGTGGGTGGGCGGAGCCTGCCGCTGCTACCAGTTCACCTGAACCAGAGCGAACCGGGAGAATGTCACCTCTGCCACAGTTACTAAAAAATGGACTTCCACTGTACTATGTTCTGCACTTCCATACTAGGACTGCAGAATTACCTCTGTGACCACAGATGACCTGCACAACACGGTATCTTCTCTGAACTGAAGAACTACTCTATATATTGAATTACTGAAGGAATCTGGGACTTTATGCAAGCAAAGATTAGACTTGGAAAATAATTTTATCTCTCTTTTATAATGCTAAAATTCGAATATTCAATGAAACTGAATGGGGAAAATTTAGAGGAAAACTTGCACCTAAATATGGGATTTGCAAAGGCCCCTAAACTTCAATTATGAAATTTGTAATGGTCTCTCTATCGTAAACAGACACTAAAATAAATTGACCAAAGCTAAATGTAATTACTGTCCAGCAATCACAAAACGTAACTACTAATTTCAGAATCAACATTATATGATTGATTCTGAGTATCCATCTTTTACAAATAATCATGGTTCTAGTTTTCATGCCTTATTATTTGGATTCTTATCCACTGTGCACTATGTAAGATCAAGCCAGGCTTTTACAAATGATGAGATTTAAAATAGACTAAAGCTCATTTCGTCTTTGAAGTGCACAATATAAAACCTAGCTTTCAAACCTTTAATTATTTCCTGATTACAACATATCTGGATGAAGCTTTGGTGAGATGGCAAAGGATTAAGCATTCCTCTCCCCTGATTCGGATCAGTGTCATGAACAATAACAAGTAGGCTTGGAAGTTATTATTCTGCATCAGTTAGATTACTACATATTCATACATCATGGTGGAAATGATGTTTATAACATTATCTGGGAGAAAAACAAGCAAACATCTTGAAGACTTCTAATCTCTTAGTAAAAGGTTTCTAGTTTTGAGTCTTGAAATCAAACACAAGTTTCCACATGGCATCTAATGTAGTGTGAGCCAGAAAACCTCCCTGAGGCACCATCTGAGAAGGTATATCTGTGCATGTTATACAACATCAGAACAACTAGACCCAAGAACAGTTTTTCCCCCAAATGCCATCACTCTGCTAAACAAATAATTCAACAAATAATTAAATTATCAAACAAACAAATAAAGAAATAATTCAACATGTCAAACTATTCACTAAGTCTGCATTACTATTACTAGTAATCTTCTCATCGTTCCTATCACCCATCTCCTCCCACTTATGACTGTATGACTGTAACTGTGTTGCTTGTATCCTTATGATTTACATTGATTGTTTCCTAGTAAGATTTGATTGCTTATTTGTACCCTATGACTATCATTAAGTGTTGTACCTTATGATTCTTGATGAATGTATTTTTTTTTATGTACACTGAGAGCATATGCACCAAAGACATATTCCTTGTGTGTCCAATCACACTTGGCCAATAAAGAATTATATCTATCTTCTATTCTATAACAAAGGCAGACTTTGAAAATGTGA